TTGTTGTTTTTCTAAACATTTCTCATCAGATGTTAATTTTACTTGTTTATTCCCCATTTTCAAAGATTTTGCTGGGCCGTCGCTGGCACGCTTGACTTCAGAGTGGTTTACTGATACGGCCTTCAACTTCACTCTAACGGTGAAGCGGTATCAGTTTTATGAGATGAAACTCAACCGTTCTCCTTTGTCACCAGTACGTGAGCCTCAGCAAAGAAAACAAAAATGGAAGTAGTTCAGCAGCGTATTGTGCTGTAAAATCAACTTACTTCCAGACACACACACATAGACATTTGCGCTCTTTTACAATTTGTTACGAATAATTACGGCTACTTCTAAAACCTAAGTCTAATTCAGTTCCTTTCAGCGAACCCAACCTATTTTTTCTTGTTACTTTAAACCTTTGCGGCCGTTTTATATACCATAATAGTGTTTCTCACCCTCGGACGTCTCACTGGTGGTTCGGATCATCAGACTGAATCCCACCGCAGTGGACCAGGCTACCGGCCCAGACCCAAATTAACGTCCTGGGGCTCTCTCCTCGTCTAAGAGGGCTGTCGACAGACTTCGGTGCTGGCTTCCCACGGCGTCAGGATTCAGTGCTGGATCTTGGAACAGAGTCACAGATAACAGTTCTGATGTTTTCTGATCCGGATACGAAGGACCAAATAATGTTAAGAGATATATTCTAAAACACTTCAGCAGAGAATCAGAGAGGAGAAACCCACAGATTTTCTTGTTAGCAAAGGCAGCCTCCAGAGCTCACACACAAGAGTGAGGCTCCAAGATTCGCACTGAGGACTGCCCTGGTCTTTATTTATATAATTCAGTGGGCGTGTGTGGTGTGTGTGTGTGTGTGTGTCAGAGTGTGACCCCATAAACGACTTCCCTTAACCTGCTGGTCTAGAAAATCCAACAGTTCATCTATATGTAAAAAAGGCACTTAGACTAAAACTGACATAGCTACGTTAATCCTACCGTAAAACAATAAGACAAGGTACAACCTTTCCCATGCTCCTAGGATGTGGGGGTGAATGGCAGAACACCCAAGAATGAACACAACGTTGTTACAGACCTCCTAGGATGAGACATTCTTTCAATATGCCACCAACTATATACTTCTAAACACAAATTATTACATGCAGTATTCTACCATATGCAAACTTATATCATTAAAGATTATACTGACTACTAAGTACAATTTTCTATTGACAAGAAGAAAAAAAAAAAACGTGCTCACATTTGTTTTTCCCCAGTGGCCCTAATCCTCTTCCGTAGAAAGATGTGGCATCATGTAGGCATCCATACACTCTTTCCCCCATTGGAACAGCAACTATGTCCACTGAGTCACATCATTCAATGGAGGCTGAGGTCTCCAGTTTGAGGTTCTTGAGTTTGTCTTTACCTGAAGAGAGCAGTTCACCATTTTCAAGGACTGAGCTTCCATGGTGTGTTGTTATAGATAAAAAGAACTGCATCACTTTTGCACTTCTGAACAGATAAACCACCACTGAGTGTGAGCTAGGATTTACTGCTTTAACAGTTTGCTGCTTTGAGACTCGATATGCAGTAGTCTATATTCGTGGTCATGTTCATTGAAAAGTTTAATTTGATTTTTCTTCATTTCACAGCTCATATAAAAATACTTCATTCAGTCAAAAACAGGTTATATGCAAACATTTGGCTCTTTGCATATAACCTGTTGTTGCCAACCCACTGTTAGATGACTGAGAGCATATTTTTAGTTGGTTGAAATCATGTTTGCTAGATTAGCCAGGTTCATGTTTAATGTCTTAACATAACATCAATATGGTTTTAGGTTTGGTCAACATTCACCCCTTTTTATAGAATTGTCCCCAGTTGTTCTTAAACCTTCTTTTGGCTTCTCCTGTTAGGGGTGGCCCCTGCCTCCACCTCACCCACCCATGGTATCCTCCTGTGTCACATCTACATGTCCTCCTTTGTATATCCATGAACCTTCTGTGTATCCCTGTATCTTTTCTACAGAATTTTTCTCCAGCTAGAACTAGAAAAGATTTTAACAAAATGCCAAATTGTGTGAGCTATTATTTAAAAGGTAAAATCTTTTAGTTTATGAATATTTGCCTGTTTAGTATGTGGTTAAACACAAATCCTTAACCCTAGATGGGTTGCCCATAAACTGATGTAGGTTAATGGACTGGGCTGTCCTCCAGTCTGACTTTCACCAGATTTCCAGTACTTAGTTCAGTGTAACAGAAACAGAACGGACCTCAGACCCTCTTTGTCCTGGGAATTTTTAGTGCATCTGGACTTAAGTGCAGCGAAGCGCTTTAGGCGTTGGGACTTAGCTCATGTGTCAGGGTGTTAAATGGTGCTGTTTGTCACTGACAGTTGTGTGAATGTGGTATGTGCACATGTACACTCTGTGGTCCCTCTCCATATAAATCAGAGGTGTTGTCAGGGGAGGAGGAAAGATTGATGCCTGGCCCTGTTTCTGTGGACCTTATGCTCTGTAAACACATTTACACGCTTTCACTCACACACAGCCATAAATGCACTCGCACCGGCAGACTGAAGAAAAAGAATTGATTAAAGATTTCAAAATCCTACTTTAATGAAAACTGGGTTGAGTAGATTGAAAAACACAAACAATTCCAACATTTTTATATTTCAACAAACTGAAAGTGAGCCCAGCTGCTGCTGCCCGATGGTGCGAGAGAAAGAAATCAGCTTTTAAAATGTGACTTTAAGTGAATTTGAGGTATGGGGGTCTGTAGCTTCAGTTTCCTGATGGGAGCGACAGTGCTGAGGTTTTGAAAATCTCTTTCATCAGTTTCCAGTCTGTCTTCTCTGGCAGCCCGTGTGATGATCTACTTCCTCTTTAAAGTTTTTCCTTCAGTGCTCTGGATTCACATACTGGCCTCGCCTGCTGCTTTGTAAACTAGGGAAAAACACAAAAATGACTTTTCAGAAAAGTTTTTCACCAATATAGTGGTCATGCAAATGAGGCAAACTATAAAGGCAACCCATATAAATGTACTGTTAAGTCAACTTCTTCCATCCAGATCCACTTTGGAGCAACACCTAAAATTATATACCCAAAAGAAACCACACTCTTACTTTATGAATAAAAAATATCTTACCTCAGCAAAAATATCCTAAATTTCCTGACTCAAGCATTGGCAACACAGATAGGACAGGAGGTTTTTTTCATTTTAAATAATTATCTGTGGCCTTGTGTATACATACCAACTACTCTGTGGAACAGTACACAAAATGCCAGCACTGACTTCTCATTACATTACTGATAGGGGTGTAAGTGGAGATTTTAAAACTGCTGCAGCTCAGAATGCACAGAATACCATTTGTATTGCCCAGTGCATCATGCTAATCAACCATCCTGTGCTGTGGTGGTTAATGTTCAAGGTTATTTTAAGTATAGTTAATTGAAATTAACAAAACATTTTAGTAAACTAAGATAAAAAATAAAAACTGGACTTCATAAAAAATAAAGTAATCAAAACTATTTAGTGAACTTGGAAAACAGACACAATAAAACTAAAATACAGAGGAAATATCTGTCAAACACATTTGTATTTTTTTTAATTAATTTTGTAAAGAAAAAAACTAAATCCAACACTGAAACATTTTCAAACAATAAACCTAAACTGAAATTCACTCTGGACACTAACTGAAACTGAACTGAATTAAAACAAAATCTTATTTAGCTCTCAAGACCAGATGGTGTCCTGTTGAAATTTTTCAGAAGGAATTTCATGAGAAATATCTGTCATTTTTTTAACAATGGCAACCCCTTGGCACCATCCGAACCTCCTTGCAATTGCTTTGGTCATTTGCAGATTGCCTTGGTTACCTTTAGTTTCGATGAAAGACTCCAAATTGTCTGCAGATACTTGCTAACTAATCACCGGAAGTGCAACTTTAAAAAAATAGTGACACAAACCAGAATTGAAGAACTTAAAGGTCAACATTTTACATTTCCAGTTTGCGTCACACTCTTCACAGGTTCACTGTTGCTTTGTGAGTACTTGGTAAATGATTGCAGAGAAGTCTGGATAGCAACCAAAACAATCACAAGGAGCTTTTCAAGCTGTGTATACCTCTTTGTGACCAAGACGTATACAAGAAGAGCAAGCAAACACTCACCAGCTGGTCGAGAAATACATATTTACACATCCCTAGTGAAGGGTGATTACCACTGACGAGTCAAACTGGTCTGTGTGCCTGGAACCTTAACTACTTCTAAGCTGGACCAAGCCGCCCGTTAAAAAATGTATTTATATCTTTCCATAACTTTTGCCGTGGTCTTAATGAATATATGTAGGTAATAAACAATCCAGCAGAACAGCTCTCTAGCCACTCCTTCATAACACCAACTGCAATGGGCATAAATCCAGGTTTCAGAGTGAGAGAGGCAAACATAGATAGCAGCATCATTATTTACCCAGAAAGCAAAAAGTTTATAATACAAAATGGCTTCAGGTATAAATCTACTTTGTGTTAGTTAATTAAACTCAATTTCAGAATATCTGTCATGTTAGCACAAAAGTAATAAGACCACAAACACGGACCTTCTGAAAGACAAAGAAACAAAACAAAAATCTAAACCTGTTCAAATCAAGTTTAAGTGGGTGATTTAAAGCTGCTGGCTTTGCCATTTTGATGATCCAGCTTTGAACCACTTCAATAACCATCTCCAATTTGTCTGTATTTCGTTACTATGGAAACCATTCTAAACATCCAATCCAGTGTCAGGATCCAGGTGGGTGGATAAAACCTGAGGATTTGGTCTAAATGCACTCTTAGGAGAAACTGCACACACACATACACAGAGAGCACATGTACAACATGACATGTGCCTTAAGACGGCAATTTATTTCCTAAGAAGGGAGCAATCTCTCTGTCAGATTCAGGTGTTCCATCCACAAAATTACTCTGAGCCCATTTTCTCTTCATTTATCCCTTTTCCTTAGTGATACTCCTTCTTTCTCGCCTTTCAGGTCGAGGAGGAGAACACGCCTACTGGCCGCCTGACACCAACCCGATTGACAGGAGCAGCATCAACGGTAACAGAAACTCATCTTCTGCATCTTCTGCTGAGTCTGTCAGAAAGCAGAATTACTTTTAGGTTCATTATTTTGCTCGATACAACAATGAGACTGAATCTCCTGAGAGCTGAGCTGGCTGTGTGTGCGTGTCTGTTGTGATACTCTTGCAGCATCATCAGCTCATCACAGCCGCTCAACTGATTCCTCTAATCACTCGACTCAGTCATGTCTAAACTTACTTTAATAAGTCGCTCTGTCCTGACAAGGAGCTCCAGCTCGCTGATTTACAGTCGGTGAGCATCGCTTCATGTTCGCCATCGCATCGCCTGTGGCAGGAAAATTTAATTAGATTCACTATCTCGTCATCAATCAGTGTTTCTATAAAGTGGAGGAAAATAATCATCTTTATGGACAAACAGGATTAAAAGAGTGGGGTGGAATATAAATCTTCAGCTTGTAGTTTTTAATATAATGACAACAACAGCAGCATTATTGGACTGATTTGACATAGAGAAGAAAGGATAGTTGCCTTTCATTTCTAATTAAAAACAGTACAACTAACAATATTAAACATATGAATTATTTATATTCCGTGGCTCTAACACTCTAATATGGAATACAGCTGTTTGTCTGTACTTCTAATATTGTTAATGATATAATTAATATTTTCATCCTGTCGTGTTTTTTTCTTTCTCCAGAAAGTTCTCCTACTCCTCACCTAGCAGAACTATAAAACAGGAAAAAAAGAACATTTGTCTTTGAAACATTGAATTTAGCTCTCGTGAACATTATCATGGTTGCAGTGGTAGCTTGATTTGCACTTTTCGAGTAATACTCAGCAATAGTCAGTGTTCAAGAACATGTTGACATCTTCCGTCTAGCATTCTGCTAAAGACCAAAGCAAACACAAGGAATTCTCTGGTGAAGCACCTGTTTTGTGACCGATTCCTCAGCGGCAGGCAATAAACTTCAGCAACAGCTCGCTAGCCGATCAAAGAACATACATTTGTCCATAGCGATTGGAGGTTGCCAAGGGGTTAAAAGACGGTCTGTAAATAACTCAGGCCAAAATAATAGAATAGCAAAGACAACACTGATTTTGTCAAATAGCTATGTTGTTACAAAATTAGGATCTCAGCAGTGAAAACGAGCATGTTGATGTTGATAGAAAAGCTTTATTTCAAAATTAGCTGTATTAAAATACAAATGCTTACGCTGAAAAGGTGGGGATGTTTATGTTATTGTGAGGACACTGCGTTTAGAAGCAAAAGTAATCCATCTGTTCCACACATACCAGGAGAGCGCAATATGCAGCAGGGCTGGTCACAGAATGTGGAGCTTGATGTTAAGTGCAAAAGTGTACTTCACACGCCAGACGTCTGAGTTTTGGCAACCTTACAAATGTACTACTGTTAAAATCAGTGGGACAGTCTGGTTCAGCCCAGCTCGCCATGTTTAAACCACTTTAAATACCACTTTTAAAACCCCTGGGAGAGTTTGGACTCCACCGGAGAGCATTTAGACCCGGCTAATCCAGCATCTGTGTAGTAGCAGCTGTGCATGACAGGAGAGCTGAATGCTGGAAGTCAAAATCATCTTTTTAGGGTTTTGTGCTGCTTGGTCAACTATTGTTTGAAATTAAACACATAGACAGATTTTTTTCCCCTACTGCACACAATCGTTATGTTTAGTACAAGGTGACTCATACTCATACCAAGAACAATAATTATGTCTAAAGTGAATGTACTCATGCAAACTGCATAATTAACGCCACTTCTACTAATGCTTATAAAAATACTATATTTGCTGTAAACTATACTACAATTGCAGCTAATAATGCTGAAACCACTATAAAAGCTAAAGCTTTGGCTGATGATATAAACCATAGTCATAATCATAACTGTCCACTCCCGTTTCTGCTGGAGAAAGACTGTTACTCCTCCTCCACTGGTAGGTCAGAGGTCAGGGTCTATATCTGGTCTCACTGGAGCACTGTCGGGCAGCGTGTGTGCTTGTGTATATCTGAAGATGGACTCTGACATTTTGTCAGCGCAGTTGCTGCTGCTGCTCCCAGAGGAGATCATAAATCTGTCCTCTTTGACCTCCGTTCCCCTCTGGCTTTATTGCGGGTCAGGCAGCTCGCAGCCTCGTTCATCAGCTCAACGGTATTTTATCTTTAACGCGGTGTCGTCGTTTATGTCGCAGCGCTTCCTCTCACTTGAAAAATGAGCTTGAGAAGAGTCACCTCAGATTTGTTTCATTGGGCCACAGCTCTGTAGGTCTGACGGCTTCTGTGCAGAGGTGAACCGATCCCGTCTGATGTTCTTGCCTCAACCGAGCAAAGACCTTCAGCACTGCCACTCATTCACTAAAGTTCCTCAGTTTTCTCTTCATATCTCTTGGGAAGTAGATGCTGGCAGTTGTTGTGAGAGGTCCATACCTCTCCACTCACAGCGCCAAGCTATTAAAGTTAAAAATATCTCAGTTTTAAGTGAAGGGAAACAACATCTCAAGAGTTTTAATCAAAAACATTAACTTCTTCATCTTTTATAACCCCCTGTAGCTTCACTTAAGTAGCTCAGAAATGTTCACAGACACTTTCTCTCTGCTGGTCAGAAAAATGGCTTTCATGTTTATACATTAATGGAAAGCACTGCATATTAAGTTTATATTCCTAAACTGAGAGATTAACATATTTGCTAATATGATGACAATACTGAAAAACTAAACACATCAAATTGTTGGCAAAAGTGTTGGATTTGCAGGTGTATAAACCAAAGTATTGGATAAAAAGATTTGTAATGTGGACTGTGCCCCACGCAAAGTTATTTCTGTCCATGTCTTTGTATGAGGTCAATCCATTAACTGCTGAGATGTTGCAGTTTATTTACAGCATCCAAAAGAACCGTCCACGTGATACAGGTTTTACATTAACATCAACCCTTAATTAAATACTAAGGAGGCTTCAGTAATAATGTTGTGCACATAATTGGACTGTATGATAGTTTATCTCTCTGCTGGTATTAAGGACAGCGCTGAGTTGTTTCTCTGAGGTTTTTTAATACTCATTTACTGGATTTTAAAACTTAACAAATGAAAAAAAAATTGCTTGTTCATGAACAGTGGCAGGAACATAGTTAAAGTAGGACAAAATGCAATCCAGTATGATGCCATTGTGACTGACAGTGATGTTCAGATTAAAGCCTCATTGATGTGTATACTCTGGTTTCTCCACAGAGATTTTTTCCCCCTGGGGTGGACCTTGTCTTTGATTTGTCCCTTCGGTGCTACAGTGCTTTATGCTCCAGTCTACAAAGAATAAACTATAAGCTATAAAATAAAATTAGTCGGAATCACGCTGCATTTTGATGTCTTTTTTTGCGTTGTCATCTTTGTAACTGCTCAGTTTCGTTTCCCTGCTGGATTTCTGGGCTTTGCAAGGATTTCTGTGCTCTCCGTCGCCCTTGTGTTGATTTGTTGGTGTCGTTGTGGCTTTAAACTGACTCAGCTGGCGAGAGTTTGTGATTTATTCTACACAGTTTCTCTGAGCTTCTGGGCCTGTGCTACTTTGCTGAAGGGCATCTCAGTAGAGGTTGTTACTACTCTTGTTATCATCAGTAACATACATTTTGCTCGCGGGTCAGTTTTGACTTCCTGTCAGTTGCTGCTATTGTTGCATCTTTTTGTTATTTAAAATTACGGACTCTTTTTCTACTTTATACTCAATAAAACTGTAATTTATTGTAAAAACAAATATTAATTTGATGAAACACATTTTTGCCACGACCTTTCTTAATTTAAAAAGCTTTTTTAAGATGAAATTTAACAAGGTGCCATTTTTGTCTCCACGGTTACCTTTAGTTAACATCAGATGACACAGTCCTTTACATAAAACATCCAAGGACTTTTTCAAGAGTTTTAAACCTCCTGTACAACTTTTCATTAATGCATAAATAGGAACAAGAAAAACATTAATGGTATTCTGTACAAACTAATCTGTGCTGTCATGTAGCTATATAGCTACATGTATATGCAGTGATACAATGCACACAAGTTATTTAACTTGTGGGATCAAGGTATTTTTCTCACGGGCATGTCATTGAACGAATTTCATTATATTGAAGGAACTTGTGGAAAAAGATGTTTTATCTCTTGGCCGAACTAAATTGCTTATCTTGCGGGAACAACATGTTCATATTGTTGGAACAAGTATTTTGTTCTTTGTTTAACTTGTGGGAACAATTGTTTTAAGTATTTATCCAGCTTGTGGGAACGAGTGTTTAACCAAGTAATTGGCGAATGCATTAGCATAACAGGAAAAGACCTGAAAGTTACCTGAAGTTTAGCCAACTTGTTCCCACAATATAAACATCTTTGTACGCCCAGGAGCTATAAAATATTTTAAGTTAGCAAGTGACTCCTACTGATTTCAGTTCTGTTTTTCATGCTAGAGTAGCATGAATTTAAATATGTGACATTCTGAGGTGTAAATCAGACCTAATTAGCTGAGTTCATCTGAAGTGAGTGGATAAGTGCTAAAGAAACAGAACTGTACCACCTCTGCATAAAAAGCAAATGCTGATTAACAGGTGATGATTGACTTGATTTAAATCATTTTTACCTTCACTTTCACATGTTTAACTTGTCACTTGTGAACAACTGTGATCATTTTTAACCAGTGGGGAAAAATTCAAAGCAATCAACGTGTGCACAGTGTGAGTGAGGTGAAGGTAGTGTCATCAATCACAGGACTTTCAGGACTTTGTAAGTCTGCTATTTTTTCATTTGATCTTTTGGACTTTTTATTCTCAGATGTTGTTTTTAGTTAGTTTTAATCACCAGAACTTCTTGGTTTGGACTTAAATGCACATGTTTCACACAAAACGCTAGAAGGTAAGACTTTCCACAAGCATCCCTATTTTCTTACCACAGAGGCAGATCCTGGTCAGTAAAGGATTGAGATCACGCTGCCTGTATATAATCCATGAATGTAACCATGACATTAACCATTCTTTTCTGGACTTAATGTTTTGAAGCCTGAACGTTAGCGTTTCTGCAGCCACCACATTTGATTTTAGGAGCCAGATGTGACCACGTGTGGATAATAAAATCAAGCACTAATCTATCACTTAATGCTAGCAAGCGTCTAATACATGTTTGTGGTAGACAGTAGAAATTCTACAATTTTACTCATACAAATTGAAGCATAATCTTCCTTGATGGCCTGCACCACACAGGAAAACATTATATTTGGCAGGCAGATCGATTAAAATACTCTAAAAGGCGCAAACACTACACATGAATTCGCTATTGCCCTCTGTACAGCACGGTTGTATAGCTGTTATAAAGGTCAATACTGTCCATAAAAATGTACGTGCTTTTATCCATCCATGAAACTAAGCATCTTAACATGGGAGGCTGTGATGAGTGACTTGCTTTTGGAACCAGTGTCACGTGGCCACTCGAAGATCTGCAGTTTTCAGACCTGAAGGTTGACGCATTGTTCAAAAAAGAAGTTGAACTATCATCACTTTTTCTGGTGACATCAAAGGTTGAACTTAGTATATTTTAATTACCCCATAACCTTTGCTCTCGCAAAACAATGAAAGCAGAAACTGTGTCAGCTAAAGCTCAGAATTCTGAAATTAAATAAAGAATTAAAAAAAAAAAAAAGGCAGAAAGATGATGAAATTGTACTTTAAAAAGGAAAAGAAGGTGGTGTTGTGGCTTCTGTGCTGTGGCCGTACGCTTTGATGGATTGTGATTTTCATTGAGAGAGACAAGCAAATGGAGAGAGAAGGTGAAAGAGGAAAAGTGCCCTGCTATCTCTTTTCCTTTGTCTTTCTCTTTGTCTCATATGCACACATTTCTCTTGATATTTTGTTCATCCATCTTCTCCCTTTCTTTTTCTTTCATTCTCTCTCCCCTCTCAGTCATTTTATTGTCTCTCCATTCCTATGTTTCCCTTTCCTTTTCTTTTTCCACCTCTCCAGCTCCTCCCTCTTTAACACACTTCCCTCGCCTCTGCATTTGGACTTCATGTCCCTTATGTGTTTCCTATTTTCTCCCTCTCTCTGCTCCAAGGTCGAGTTAATGAATGACAGAGCGTGTCATCAATTCCCCTCTTTCCCTTTACACCTGTCGTACACTCATACACACACTGTGTATTGATCGGTAAAGCAGCAACAGCAGCAGCAGCTTTGTGTTTTCAGTCCAGTCAAACCACTTCTTCTCTTTCCTTTGTCTCAATTTTGGGTATCGTGGAATAACATATATTGGTTACACAACTAAAACAGATATAAAAATGTGACTGTGGAGCAGTTAAATGTAGCAATTTGCCTAAAATTTGATTCGGCATATCAACTTATAGTGTGGTTACCCTTCCTGTTCTGCTTTCCACATGATATTATGAAAAAGGTAAAACCAAATTTAAATTTCAGTAAAATTCAATCTTCTTCGAATAGAAAAAGTTAAATGATTCAGTTTTATTATCATGTTTATCTTCTTATGATAATGTAGAAATGCGCTATAAAATATTGTATAGTGCATAGAGTACTCAAAATAACCCTGGGCATTGACCACAATAATGACTATTAAAATAATGTGAACTGTATCGTATCATGCGCCATCTTACTTAGAAAAGAAAGTGATGCACTAACTAACTTATTACCTCATAGATCTTAAATTTTTATAATTTGGTTGATCTTAACACTGTCCTGAAAATGTCCAGAGCACTGTGTTCAGAAGTAAAGCATGGACTCCGAATAGACGAGACATATAACAGTCGTGTGAAAGGTCCTATAAAGTATTAAGTACAACCCATGATTCAATAGCTTTAGAACCATTCTCAGCAACAATCAGCTCAAATAATTGTTTTCTTGATGACTTTATTAGTCTCTCACATTGTTGAGGAGTTTTGGATCAGTCTTCTTCATAATGTTGCTTCAGTTCATTGAGGCAAACGTCTCCACTTTGGGCTCGTCTGCCAAAGTGCATTCCTCCAGAAATCTTGTGCTTTATTCAAACCTTACAAACCTAAGCTGTGCTGCCATCTTCTCCTCAGCTAAGAAACACATTCTCCTCGTAAGCCTTCCAGACAAGTCGTACTCAGTCTCTTTCTAATTATACTGTCACCATGTGACCTTAGGTTGAATTAAATTGAATTGAATTGAATTAAATTGTAAATAATCTTTCTCATTGGAGAATGATGGACGTCAAATGAACCTTCTCTGAATAGAGCAACAATTGCTTCTCTAACACACACCTGAATGCTCCTGACCAGCAAACTGCCAAAAAGTCTGAATTTATATAGGTGCTGAGACTTGCTGGTAATCAGTTAATGCATTTGATTAGCAGCACCTGACTGTTTCCCCAACCTTATGGAAGCAGTGACTGTGCTTTTCACGGGATTTCATAGAGTTCTGTGAAAACTTCTTTTTTTTCTTCTCATATTTAAGCACTTTGAGGCAGCTGTTATTGTGGGTTTATATAAATAAACTGAATTGAATATAACTATGTCATCAGCAATCATCAAAATGTATGAAACAATTTTTATCTTTTCTTTTTTTGGTGAAATTTAGTTAGTTTAATAGATCTAATGAGCAAAAGAAAAAGCATTAACAATTTGCCTGAGATATTACAGTATATATAATTTATTGTTGCAGTTTTAATGTTGGCTATATCAAGCATTTTAGATGAAGGTTTCAGGAAAGTGTTTGTTATACATAATGAATTCACAGTAAAAATGGCATAAACTTTATAAACTGATGTTATTTTAGTATATTCATTTTGAATATACAGATTTCAGTGTGTATTTATTCATGTTTCTAACTTCTGCCTCTCTTCTTGTATTTATTCCAGAATCTCCAATTGGTCAGATGCGTCCCCCTCACGGCAGCGTCACCCCTCAGAAGAACAGCAACCTCCTGGTCATCATTGTGGTTTCTGTGGGAGCCGTCACCGTGGTCGTGGTTGTCATCGTGGCCCTCATCTGCACACGGCGCACCTCCGCCCAGCAGAGGAAGTAAGATGTTTCATTCATCTGTGTGATGGCAATAAACGGCTGTCACTGTAATGAGGCAGATGGTTAATGAGCTGCCCTGCATGTCTTGTTTTTTTACAGAGATTTACTCTGAAATTAATGTCCCTGCCAGCTCACACAGGTCTGAATATATGTACCAAATCACAAATAACCCAGCCAGCAAAAACCTCAGCTAGACCTCTCCATGTAGACTTTATCATCCCAGGAAATGTCAGTTCATCAGGTTTTAATGTTATTTCATTGTAGTTTGTTTTGTCATGGTTTTCTTTTTATAAACACACTCAAGAGGTTTTATTTACCCTTTCAAAACCACCTGTTAGAAGTCAACTCACGCAGATGACTTTTGTAACAGCAGGAATGGCAATTATGCCTTTAAACTCGACTTCTAGCCTCCTTGTACCGATTTGTAAGAAATGCGCCAGAAAAGCCGCAACTGTGTTCACAGTGCATCTTCAGTGCATTTCCATCCTCCAAATCAATATGTCTTTCATATTGGGTGCATCAGTGATGGTCGACCACTGCAGGCACCAAGATTGCTTGGGAGAAGAATACCCTGTTTAGCCCACTGCTTCAGAGACAGAACTTCAGATAAGCAAGAAATAATGAATGGATGAACAGTTTCAGTCTAGTTCAGGGGTCGGCAACCTGCGGCTCTTTAGTCCTTATAGTGCGGCTCCGCGTGGTTTGGGAAAATAAATTATTTTTTTTAAGTAATTAGCTGAAGTGTATTTTATTTGTGTTTAGTTCTTTTTTAACTTGTAGTTCTAAATTGGAAGATTATTGTGATATTGAAATATAAATATAAAATTATATTCTATTATTTTTTGATTGCTCAAAATAAGCGTCACACTTGCGGAAGTCGATATACCCATCGAAACGCCGTGCATTTATCGAGACTTTCAACCCCAGGTAAGACAATTATGGATCTTCGAATCCACATATGTCAGCAGCTCCACTGTGAACTATGTTAAAAACAAACGCCGCTCACGCCCCACAGATGACAGCTCACAGTCCTGCGTGAAGATGAAAGTGACTTCGTACAGCCCCGATCTGCAGATGCTGTGCGCAGAGGTTCAGAAAGCCCATTGTAAACATGTCACGGCAGACCCGACGATGTTTGTATGAACATGCTTTTCAGCATCTCTTTATTGACCACTTTTCACACACGCTTGCTGTACATATACTGCCGGTGTTAAAGCTCACAGCCCAACACAGTCCCAACACAACAGCACACATAGCACAGACGTTAAGGCGGCGAGGCGTGATTGCGGGTGCCGCTCAGGTGCGTCCACCTCCCCTGCAGTGGCGCTGCAGGCCACGCCCCGCCACACAGGTAAAATACATATTTAGGCAGAATTTTGCAAATATCTATTTTTTTTTATCAGCATAGTGCTTTTTTTTCCAATTATTTTTTTAAAAGTCAGGTCAAGGCTCCAAAAG